GTTTTTTTTTTTTAAAAAAAAAAAAAAAAAAAAAGAGAGAAAGAAATATGGATGTAATGGTGAGTTTTCCATTTCCTTTTAAGCTACAAAGCACATGAGAAATGTTCTCTTTTTTTCCTTTCAAATTCTAAATGTAGAGACTCAACTAAAACCGGATTCTACAGCATTCTACAGAAATACACAGCCATCAGTCACTCTGGGGTCGTAGGTTAGACAGGGGCTTGATACAGAAAGGCTGTGTCTTACAAAGGCCAAAAGGTCATGCTACCAGGAGATCAAGGTCAACAGCAGAGAGTCCGTGAAGCAGTCTGTAGAGAGAGAGATAAGGGGGTCCAGTCTGACCAGTTTCTTTGATTTTAAAAGCCAACCAACCAACCAACAAACCCTGGCATATTTTTCATTATGTTGGGGGAGGGAAAGAGGGGGCAGCATCGCAGGAAGATGAGAAACCCAAGGGGGGCCCAGCCCAGGCCCCTGGAGGCCGCCTCCGAGGGTCAGGTCTGCAATCCAGCCCCCACCTTGGCCCCTCCTGTCCCCTTGTCCCCATCTCTCCCTTTCTCCCCATGTGCCCTGCATGGCCCCTCCTCTCGCTGCTTTGACAAAGCAAACCACGTCTCCCTTTTCTGACTCTTGCCTTTTAGCATGAAGAAAGAAAGCCAGGAGACAGTGGGTTGGTCCAAGCAGTGATTCTTCTAAGTTCTTGAAATGAACAAGCACCACCCCCCCAAAGAGAAGCGTCCTCACTTTTTCCATCACTGGGGGTGAAGGGCAGGGAGATGTTTAGAGCATGGGCCATTTTGTAAAGGGTTTTGAAAGTCGAACAAGAGTGGGGTAGAACTGAGGGCCCACAGCCCCAGCGGCAGAGGCAGAGACGAGCTGGACGATGCCAGGCCTCTCTGCCTCTCCTGCCCTCAGAAATGGGTCCCAGAGGGTGAAACCACAGGGCTGGTCTCCCAAGTCAGGACTCCCATCACGGCGTGCGCGCATGAACATGCTCATGGGCTGCCCGGGAAAACCTTGATCTATGGATGGTGGTGGTCAGTTCTGTCCAAAGCTCTTTCTAGTACAAACTAAAAAGAATTTTTTAATATATATTTGTATATATATAAGGTTCTGTTATGCCTTTTTAAAGTTTATTTACCAACTTGCATTTGTCAGTGGCGTGTGTGTGTGTGTGTGTGTGTGTGTGTGCAAGCTTTTCTGTGAGTGCTGGAATCATTACCAAATAGGTTGCTATACAGGACAAGAGGTCAGTACAAGCCGCAGCCCCGGAGGTTGTTGGCAATGATGATGTCAGTGACGGCGTCGAATACCACCTGGATATTATTTGTGTCTGTGGCACAAGTCATGTGACAATAAATTTCTTTGTTGGGCGAGCGGTTTTTGCTTTCAAATTGTGCTTGGATGTAGGCGGCTGCATCTTCGTAGGTATTGGGGCCTGTAACAAGACAGAAGAACAGGGAGAGACCCTGGTGAGAGCTGGGGGGTAGGGAGTGAGAACCCCAAGGCGAGAGGTGGGCTGTGGCATTTTCCAGGAAGCTGGTGAGACAGGCCGGGAACACATGAGGCTACAGACAGTCACTCCTCCAGAGGTGTCGTTGAATTTTACATCAAAAACCACATGCAGCTCAGCATTCTCCTGGATTCTGACTTCTCAAGGTTTCTTACTGTTTTCACACTGGATGGGCCCAGGAGCTGTGGGACAATGGCCTCAGAAGGTCCCTTTTGCTTTCTGGGTGAGCACAGCGAGGCCCTGTCTGGGCCTGCCATTCATAACACTCACCCCTGGTCTAAACCTGTCCTGCTGCTTTAATAAACCAAGGCATTGACCTCTGAGGAAGAGCCCCTGGCAGGGTGGGGACCCAGTAGTCCTGCTGTCGCAGGGCATGTTGGGTGCCCAGCTGGACATGCACTTCTTTCTGGGTGGCTTCCTCCAATGAGAAGCCACTTGGCTGGGCTAGGAGCACCCCTACATAGTCCTTGGGTGAACTGCCAGGACGTGGGGACACCGGTATCCCCTGGGTGGGAAGTTTAAGGTGCTAGCAGCGTGTGCAATACCAACTGGGCCCCACTATTCCTTGCTGTCCCCTTGATCCTGTTGGGGCCTGGAGGGAATGTCTGTGGATGATTCAAAGACAGTTTTTTAATCAGCTGCACCCCCAAACCCACGAAGCTCTGCCCTGTGGACAACTTTCAATCACCATAAAATATAGACCAACATAGAATTGCCGAAAAGGCCATCAAAGGAAGATTCCTGATTCTCCTCAATGCCTAGGATCTGGGAACTTGGAAACAGTACGATCTGGTGCTGAGGGTTTGGGACAATTCCCTCCCCCTGTCCCACCTGCCGGGCCCCACCCTCCAGCTATGGGTGTGAGCCACACAGGGAGGCTGGGCTTGGTCCCCTGGAAGGCTTCTGCAGCCAGATAAACAAATGTAAGGGGTCTGGGGAAGGGGTGAGGACATCCTGTGATGGGGATCAGGATGAAGACCAGCTCTGCACAGCCCACAGGGCAGAACCTCCCTCTCAACCCCACTGTTGGCCAAGGGTGGGGGTGGGGCACCAGAGCAGCAGTGCACTGAGCGGTGAGTCTGTAGTGAAGCCATCAAGTTAGCGGCAGCTTGCAGAAGAGACAGGCTGCCAGAGTGGACCCCATCAAGGAGCTTCCTGTCCAGAGAGTGCCAAGACAGGGCACTGATCGAGGTGAAGGTGCCTGGGAGTGACTCTCGGGATGCCGGCTGGTGCCTTCTCAGCATCTGCAGAGTCTGCGCCCTAACAGCCGGCGCAGAGCTCACCTTGGACATCCAGCTACCAACTGTCCCCCCGCCTGTCCCCGTCAGCCTGTTTTGTGTCCCCGCAGGCCTTGGCACCCCATGGGGCTACTTCATTGGTAACCATTTGTCATCCATCGTGATGGTGTTTGAACTCAACAGTGACGTGGGGCTGGACCCCTCTGGGTGCTCTGGAGAACTCAAATATTTCCCAAATTCAGACGGACTTCCTCTGGGGCAGCCAGTGCCTCATACTGCACAGCAGTGAGACTGGCCACGTGGGCCACGTCCCAAGTCGGGCTCCAGTGGGGCTGGTTGATGGGGACAGTAAGAGCCTTAGGGCGGTGCCTGCCTGAGAGGGCCTTCTGGGCCTTCAGGCTGCTAAGACCTTCCCGGTTGCCACAACTTCCTAAAGACCTGAGCTGGTCCTGCAGGGCCTTAGCTCTGCTGGGAGACATGTCAGCAGTGGCCACCTGCAAGCAGGGCCCTCCACTGCCCAGGACCTCAGGGCCTGTTCCTTGCCACCCCGCAGAGGGCACCTCGATGGGCCAGTTCCCCATCCTTTGTTCCTATCCTCTGAGTAGCACTAAGAGTGATGGCCAGTGGCATGCAGACCTGGCACCGGCTCTGTTCTCTCCATTCGCCCCTGTGGCCACCCCATTCTGTAGGCACTAATGTATCTACTATGGTGCCCAGATGAGAAATGAGATCCAGGGGATTAGCTTGTCCCCTGGCTCCAGAGGCTGCTTTGGTGCCCCTGCCTGCAGCAGACTACGCTCCTGAGCGCTGTCAGACCCCAGCCTGCCACCACCCTGGCTCTGTGCACCCTGGGGTGGGCGGGAGCCTTGCTGGTTGACAAGCAGCTGAACACTACTGAGGAGAAGGGCTGTGCTCCGAACAAGCCCAAGCACCCTGCTTGACACCAAGGGTGAGCGTCTAAGCTTCCCAGTGGTGCAGAAAGGTGGAGGGGCCGGCAACCATCTCTTCTGGAATCTGGCTGGGTTTCGGGACCCGGGTAGCCCTGGGAGCTGAGCCCATGCCCCCCTCTCTCTCAGGGCCACCCAGGAGTGTGTTCCTGGCTGAGCTAACTTGAGACATATCTTCCTCTATTGCAGAGGGTCCCTAGAATCTTCCCAGTCCCCAGAGGGACAAAGGCTGGGCCCTGGCATCCCAGCAGCACCACGCTAGCCACTAGCTGCAGCCCAGGGCCTGCCAGCCTGCAGCAGCTGCTTCCCGCAGCCAGCAGCCCGATGCCTCATCCACCTTTGGGAAAGAGTTTTGGGGGGAGTCTGTGATGCATCCCCCTGGGAGCCAGATGGGAGGGAAGACCCCCAGGGAGGGTGGAAGAGAGGCAGGCAGGGATGACGAAGCTTTCGGGGTTGGAGAGGTTTGATTTGGAGGAAAGATGGGCAGTGGAAGAAGAGGGGAAAGCAGGCACGAAGGTGGAGCAGGTGGAAGGATCTGGTGGGGCACAGGCAGGGCTCTGCTGGTAGAGGGAGCAGGTGGGGGCCACTCACAGCCCACGCGCCCACCCACCCTTTCTAATTCAGGCCACGGCGCTGTGAGGCCATCGGCTGCCCAGGGCAGGTCAATGGGAGGCCACTGATGAGCCTGGGAGAGGCAAGAGACGTCTTCCAGAGGTGATCAGGGTGAAAGGGGAAGCCTGTGTCCTGTTCTGCTTCCTGATCCCTGCCATTGTCACCCGAGTCACCTCGTCACAAAACCTATGGATCAGAAGGTCCACACCTGCTCACGCCCTGGTGCTTTCCTCTGCACTCCGCCAAACTCCTGCCGTGATGCCCTGCGCACCAGCCAGTACCGGCCTGGCAGCCTGCTCCCTGGGCCACAGGCAGTGGCTCTGGTTCCTGCCCTGCAGGTGACGCAGGTTGTGGGCAGAGCGAGGCTTCCTCCCGCACAGGGCTGCTGAGACACCCACCTGTGTACTCAGGAAAGCAGATGGTCAAAGGTGACTTCTTGATCTTCTCACCGAAGAGATCTTTCTTGTTGAGGAAGAGAATGATGGAGGTATCTATGAAGAACTTGTTGTTACAGATGGAGTCGAAGAGCATGAGAGACTCGTGCATGCGGTTCTGCGGCCGCAGGCGGGAGGGAGAGAGTGGGACAGACAGAGAGGGAGACACGGAGACAGGGAGAGAGAAGAGAGAGTTAGGTTTGAGAGAGAGAAGCTGGGCTACTCAGCAGCTCAGGAGGGGCTCCAGGGCCCCTGTGGCTCCTTGGAAGGCTGAAGGACTGTAATTGGTAACATAGCACAGAGCTGCCGATTTCCAGTGTTCAGGCCAATCTATGCCCCTCGTCCCAGGGCCAGTGGCAGACACTGACCCGACCACTGCTTCCTGGGTGAGGCTGAGGACAGGTGATCTGGGTTCTCCCCCTGCGAAGTCCTGGCCACAGGAGGGTCTCCCTGAACGTGTGTGTGTGTGTGTGTGTGTGTGTGTTTGTGTGTGTATGTTGGGGGGTATTGCTGGGTGGGAGCCTGAGAGTTGGGTTTTGGCCCTTCCTGTCCAGACTTTTCCTCTTTAGCTCAATCTGTGGGTGGGCGATGTCGTTTGGGAGGGCTGAGGGACTCTAGATCCCTCCTGTGACCTCAGGGAAGTCACACCTTGGGGGCTGCTACGTGGCAGGGATGCCTCTACCCAGGCTGCCTGCAGGAGTGCCCGGGGAAAGGGCCACACCTCCTTGTACACAGAAGTCTGTTTAGCAAATGAATGCACACGTTGGGCCCTCCAAATAAAGCAGAATCCAATGGGGACCTTTCCCCCGAGCAAGGCCTGACTTATTCTGCTGTAGGATGCCCAGCACACACTTGGGTAGTGTTTCTTGGCAGGGCAGGGGAGCGTGTCACTCTGTGAAGGAACCCCTTTCTGCAGGGGAAGGTGACTTCATGAGATGGACCTCCCTGGGGGAAGGGGCAGCTGCTCGTTTTCTCCAAGAACCCTGCCCTGACCCTGGGAACTTGTCCACCCCACACCCAGCGCCCTGGCTAGCCTCAACCGGGCACTTTCATCCTCAGCTCCCCCACAATCCCATTCAGGGAAGAGCGTGACTCATTTGCCCTGTGCCATCTCGGTGCAACCTGTTCGTAAAGGAGCAGGTGGAGGTCTCCCTGAAGGCCAAGTGCAGGGCCTGGGGCTGTGAACACTCAGGCTCACCAGGCCACCTAGGAGGGCGGAGTAGAGACGCTCGGAGACCCAAGTACTCAACAGGAAAAGGCCTCCCACCACACGGAGCCACCTGTCCCACAGCTACTGAACCAAGAGCTGGAAACCTGCAGCGCAAGGCCAGCGCCCAGCTGCTGTACAACCATCCCAAGCATTGCATTGGTCTACAGACACTGGGGGGCATGGCAGGGACATATGCCTGGGGCACTTGCAGGACCAGAAGAGAATACCAGGATGACCCGAGCTGAGAGTGGGGACTGTGTCCCTTTGGCTGGACTGAGGGTCTCTTCCTCAAGAGGCCACTGAGCTTAGGTCTGGAGGAAAAACCCAGGCCAGCTGCCCGGGCTCCACAGTTCTCCTCTGCTCCTGCTCAGCCCCTGCGCAGCCCCACCAGTACCCACTGGATGTGCCCAAGGCCCCTGCCGGCGGCTCTGGGGCTGTGGGAAAGGCCGGCACAGGCTCCTGCCCTCCGAGAGCTCACAGTGAGCACACCCCAAAGCCCTGCCGTCCCCGCAGTGCACAGAGCTGGGGAGGAGACGGCGGCAGAGCGCACATTGCACAATCAGACCGGAATTCGCGGGAAGGGCCTTGGAGGAAGTCAGTCTGGAAAGAAGGGCAGATCCCAGAGATGCAGGGGGAGGGGGGGGCAGCGGGGACGGGTGCTGATGCAGGAACGGGGGCGCCGGCACTGAGACCCCTCCACACCCCGCAGGCCTGACAGCCACCCCTCCACACACAGACTGGAGCCCATCACCAAGGAGCCAAGAGCACAACTTGTCCTTACAAGCTTCCTGGAGGAAACGGATGCCGGAACACAGTCAAAATAGAAGACGGAACCATTTGAGCAAAGAGAAGGAAACCAGGGGTCACAACCTTCCTGTCTCCCCCCAGTCCTCCACCTGCCCCAGACTTCAGCGGAGCTGAGAGCAGTAGGAGCTGTGCCACCACCACCCAGAGCGGTGGCCTGGCCGGCACCTTGAACACTAGGACAGGAAGCTGGGCTCCACATGGGAAAGACCAGCCTCAGCCCTCATGACAATCCCAAGTCCTGGGCATCGTGGCCAGAACGCTTTGGTCCCAGCAGGACCAACCTAAGGCGGGGCACGGGGACAGGTGTGGTATGGGTGCGCCTGGTGGAGGCTTGGGCACTGACACAACACACCACACTCACGCTAGAAAAGCTGGCACTTTTATTAACGGTAGGTGACTAATAAATACATTACGGCAGCCAATAAATTATTACAATAACTAGAGATTTATTAAACCCACAAGTCACTCTACTTACAAAATTACAGTTAATATGGGGTGGGTGGAGGTGGTGGGGTTGGGAGGTGGGATTACTGAACCTAAGATAGGAAGTTTGCTAAAGAGGGAGGGGGTGCCCAAGCTCACCCCTGCCTGGGGCAGGAGCAGAGAGGCCACAGCAGAGGGGAGGAGGCCTGGGGGGCAGAGGACACGTGCAGCGGGGGCTGGGGCAGAACCAATAGGGATGGAGAGATCAGGAGGGAAGGGCCTGGCTGCCCAGGGAGGCAGCAGGAATTGGAGGGGGGCAGGGAGAAGGGGCTACAGGAACAGAGGTGTGTGGAGCTGCTGGCTGCTGAGAAAGGGGTGTCCTCATGCTGGTGGTTTCAGTGCATTGGGCCTGGGGATAAAACCATTCCTTCCAGAGGGAGCCCTCTGACCAAAAGGGCCAGGGACTTAGGACTGGGGGGTCTTCTTTCTGCTTTGCCTGGACCCACCTCTCCCTTGAAAGGGGCCTTCATCCTGCTGGGGTGGGACCTGTCTGGAGCCCAGGACCCCCCAGAGGAATGGCCCCCCTAGAGGGAAGACCCCACTCCGCCTCCTGGGAGGATGGGGAGCCTGACCACCATCACACAGCAGCAGCCCAGGGCTGTGCTCTCTGCTCAGGGTAGGGGCAGAGCCCACCCGTCCTCAGACCAGAGTCCACAGGCTCATCAGAGCCTGGCCTTGGGGACCTCTCTTGGTTCTCTGCACGAAGGCCAAGGCCTGGCTCTGTGGGGGTTTTGGGGGCAGAGCACAGAACTCGCCCATAGGCACCTGGTGGCAGGCACAATTTTCATGGGTTTGGCAAAGGCGACCCTCCTAGAAATCAGTTTCTCCTTGGCCTAAATTAGGGCCAGTCAGAGGATTTAAGCATGGCCCCCAAACACAGGGCCACTCACATCAGGTCACTCACAACATCTCCCCCTACACCCACGACGGAGCCAAAACTCATCTGTCATCTTCAGTTGTTACGCCCCATGGTGGAGCCCTCAGTGATGACGGTGATGATCTGGATGGGAGACGCAGTAAACAGCGAGGGAATTTCACCCCAGATACCCTCTCCTCTCTCAAGGGCTTGCACTGGTCAGGCCCGGAGGGCGAGAGCTCACCAGAAATGGAGCAGCACATCTGGGAGGGAAAAGGAAGTCCCGAGGACAAAGGGCAGGAAGGCCCCAGGCAACCTGCTCGGCCAGCTTCCTTCCTGATGCTGCCATGGGTGAGGGTGGGGTCCTGGGGGCCTGAGTCCCGCCAGGGCTCTGGCTGCTGTGGTGTGAGGGAGGCAGTGGGCAATGGAGGGCCCTGGGCCTGGAGAGCCAGTGACTTCTACCTCTAGGGCAATAGCCTTAGAGGTGGAGTCTGGCCAACACCCCCCTTCCTGTCGGCTGCTTTTGAGTCTGGGCAGAGGTAGGGGCACAGCTGGCCACATCCAAGGTGATGATGCCCAGAAATAACTGCTGTGTCTTTAATGTTGGGCCAAATGGCTTAACTGGCCCTGGCTGCCTATGATGAGACATTGAGACTGTTCTCTCCAGGGGCCTGTCCTCTGCCACGACCCAGCAACTAGTAGAGGTGCAGCACACGAGGGGAATGAAACCAAGTGGACTCGGGTGGGCAGGGTGGCTCCTGCAGGTTGGCTGCCTTGTGATTTCTCGTAAGGCCAGGGCAACAGCAAGAGAGGCAGAGCAGAGATGGGCTAAACCAGTGACACCTGTCCCTGCAGGCATTTGGCACTAGGGACAGTGCTATAGGTCTCACTGAGGGCCTGCTGGAAGCAGGGAGCCCAGAGCTGCTGGCATGGGTTCTTCCTGGCTCCGGGGCAGCCAGGGGGTGACACTGGGAGCCCAGGGGTCCTGCCTGGTCCTGGGACTGAGCAGAGCCCAGGTGGAGGCCGAAAGAGCAGAGGGCTTGAGCAGGGAACCAGAGACCTCTCAAGGGGCAGACCCCTCTCTTACCATGGGCACATCTGGCTCCCGAGGCAGAGCCTGCCACACAGCACACAGGTCTGCCTGGGCTGTTGGCTGCTGGCATCAGCCAATGGGAGTGCCGACTGCCTGAGGCCAGCTGGGGCCTGGGTCACCAGAAGTTGCCCCACCCATTTCTGCTCAGGAATCTCTGCCAAAGCCCCTGCAAAGGGTCCTAGGACTCTCTTTACAGAGGGAGGGGGTGGATATATGTTAGAGCTGGCCCAGGTCCTTGGCAATGCACACTTTAGGGTGTTGGTCCTGACATCTGCCCTCCTCTGCCCCGGGGGTTGGCAGGACACCAAGAACGAAGGAAGCTGGGTATTGGCCTCAGGGGCTGCGTCCACACCCCCTCTTGTCTCCCCAACTACAGAACCTCCACCTAGCCCCTGCTGATTCGAGTTGAACTCACTGTAAATTCGAGAAGGAAAAGTAGGGCTACTAACACCTGGAGCAGCTGCCTGAGACCGCTTGATGGGGGAAGGAGGATGGGTCATCCGGGGCCTGTGAGGACAGGGCATGAGGTCCCATTGCATGAACACTGGCGCTACTTCCCCTTGGCACTGCCCACCGCCCACCTTTTCCTTGGCCTCTGTCCAGGCACCACGGGACTCCAGCCCTCCCACCACTGACCACATGTCTTTGCAATAAGTTAGTCTTAGAACC